AAAAANAAAAAAAAAAAGAAAAATGATTGAAATTTATGGAAACAATAAATTTATGAAAAATTTCAAATTTCAATTCTAAAAAATTTGTTTCGGAACTTCAAAATTTAGCATTTTTGGGAAAAAATTTTATTATACAAATGAAACAATTATCATTTCAATCATATGGGACAATTCTAATTGCTCAATTTCATTATAACAATGTAAAATTAAATAATTTTAACTTTACCTTTTGAAAATTTTATTACAAATTAAATGATAGCAATATTAGTAATCATTAAATTAATGATAGTCAATAAATTATCCTGAATTTTATTACATCCAAAATTTTATTTTGCATCCATCTTTTTCTCTTTTTTTTTTTTCATTCAATTTTTGGGCATTTCTCAAAATTAGCCCAATGATCTATGTAGTGCCTATTAACTTGCTATCACTTTTATCCATATTGGCTATTTAATGTTTCCTTTACCCATTTTCTTTTCCTATTCGTCATCCTAAATTAAACTTACCAAGCATTCATTAATGAAGCCTATTGGATGTTAATTAAATGTTCTTCCATTGTTACATCAACAATAACAATACAAATGATGACATTTTTTTTTGAATGATAACAATTTATTGCAGTGATAGGAAAAGAAAACATTTTTGTCGTTTGTTCATGCCGCTTTTTTGAGAAAAAAAAAAAAGTCTAACAAATTGAAGGGATTATTTCGATTGATATGATAGTGATAATGATAGGAGGGAAGAGAGAAAAGAGAAAGGATTAGGATGAAAAGTATTAAAATTTTTTGATTTTATCATTACAATTTGAATATATAATTTTACTTTTCAAAACTTTCTTTTTTTTTCCTCCTAATTTCACACAAAATAGTAAAGTTTCATCTTTGAAATGGAAAATATGTGCTTAATATTTTTAAAAAAAAAAATGATACAAGAAATTTAAATTTAAAAGAAATATATGAAATTGAAATATATTATTTAAACTGAAATATTTGAGATATGTGAATTATATATAATATTAATGATAAAAGTAAATTATTTAAATCTATGCGATTTTTATTATCACTTTTTTTTGTCAAAAATTTCAATACAAATTGATTATTATAATCATTTTATTTTAAAGTTATTTTTAATTAAAACATCTCTTTCCTTTTTGTTCTTTTCTTTTCTTTTTTTTTTTTTTTTAGATTCGAATCAACTTCAAATGGACAAACGACGTAACAAATTCGAATTTATACGTTTTGGTCGTCGATAGTATCGTTTGCTTCTTCTTCCCAACATGTTTCACATTATAGAACTGTATTGTGGAAGTTCAGTTGTGCATAAATCTTGATACTATGCATTTGCATTATACTTTGACAACATTTCATTAAATGAAAATTATGAAAGTCATTTCTAAATTATGTTAGCGACAATTTCACAGTTAATATCATTTCGGATAATTGATAAATAATCAAAATATCCAGCAAACGTATTACAATTATGGATAGTATTTTTATTAAGCATGGAAATTTACAGCGCTAAATTTCATACAGTAGTAAACTTACAGTGTTATCGTCCGTTACAATACCACCGAATTGATATTTAAGGAATGTTTGGTGGTGTCATGAAACTTTGAGGTCTGTACTTACAAAATTATTCGCATCCATACTGGTAAATATTTAGGATGATTGAAGATAATGATCGTTTATATGAATGTTACATTAATTATCAATACTGAAATAAACAAACGATATTACGGTAATTTACTGTAGAGCATTTAGAATGATAGACTTAGCAAATAACAAAGTTTTGGAATATATAGTATAAATGAATTATGATCGAATTAAAAGCAATGAAATTTATAAATTGCTTCAAAGAGTGAAATTTATAAGTTATCATACTGTTAAATTATCATTCACTTTAGTATATACGGTATTGGACAATAATATTGGCCGCGCTATACTGTAAGCTTATCATATCTTTTCTATAATTTTATGAATCAAAGTGGGAAAAGAAATAATCTTGATATTGGATGATCAATTCAGTTTCTTCTGGAATTTACTAGAAACATTGGGAAGAAATGGAAAGAGAAGCCCTCCGGATATTGTAGGAATGGTTGATCATTTCTTCTAGAATTTACTAGAAATATGGTAGCGCGAAGTGGAATTATTAATGAATGCATGGTCATCTTTTTCATTCATATTTAAAACAGCCAGTAAATAACGAATTAAATTTATATATCAGGCAATACTTAAATAGGAAGAGCAAAAAAATGAGGGAAGGAGCACTATCACATTCTTGTTACTCGAATAATTTAATTAAAATTTTTGTTAATTTTAATGAAAGTTCAAAAATATTGCTTTCTTTTTTTTTTGTACATATAAG